CTTTCAGTGGAGTGCCGCTCTGTACCGTCTCCCCACCCCATATCCTTCTGAAGCCAACCGGAGCTCTCTACAGCCATCGTCTAGTGCTGTCCCACCAACTCTCTGTGCTCCCAGTCATGTTCACAGCCATGGACTTTCATTTCTCCTTGCTTGTGACCCAGGATCTTCAAGTTAGTATAAGGGAACTTGAGATTAGTCCCTGAACATCCTGTCATGTAAGCAGGAGTGTGAGAGTCGCACTCATAGCTTTCCCATGTTTGTTTAGGCCATTTGAAACACTATCGTGATAAGCACCAGAAAAAAAAAGTTAGGAAAAAAGTAGCAAGTCAGTGCGCAATTTGTCAGTGGGAAAATGCAGATACTACATATCAATGACAAAACTGCATGGAATTGTTGAATAATTGTTTTATTTCTTGACCATTTTCCTTTTTTGAAGGGCAGGGATCAAACCTGTGAAGGAAGCTGCTGCATTGTTAAGTGATTAAATACTACCTTAACACATATGTAGATACATTTGTGTGTGTGTAACTGTCTACATTCACACAGGCACATGTGCACACACACACTCACACACGTATACATCAAGCTGGTTTTTATTCAATGTATATAACCCTTAAAAATATCTGTTCTTCTTATTTAATAATCAGTCAAACTTTCATCCTTGCTCACAGTCATGCATGTTGAAATATTCCAAGACTTTTTAAAGTTTCTGCAAGAAACTCTTCTACGTTCTCAAAACACAGCGCTTTGGTTTTTGATGTCACCATTTAACATTCATTTAGTACATGTTAGAAAGTGTCTTTGTTCAGAAACATAACAGATCTAACAAAATTGTAAGGCAGATGTTAATCTGAGCATATTCTGAAGAGTTTAGATGAGTCTTTAAAAATATAAATGAACTTGAGCCCCTACTGAATTGAAAATCAGAATCCTTTGTTTTTAAACATATTGTATTTAAAATAATATTTTTTGTTAATAAGAATGTTCTGTTCATATATTTATTCTGTTTGTGTTTATAAAGCCTATTTCATTGATTTTACTACAGGTAAATTTAAAGTTTTTAATTGCAAACAATATCTTCATAAAGTATATCCTGAAAAGTATGTTTTTTAAAAAAGTAGTATTTTTCATAGTAAATAAGCTTGAGACCTGCCACTTGTAAGTAGGACATAGTATTTTGAAAGTGTTTGCTTGTGTTATATGTAATTTAATAATATAACATTAAATAATTCTGACAGTTATGTCTAATCACAGAAAACCTGGAGATTTATTTTTTGGTGGTGCCAGTACAGATACTAACGCTTAAATTTTGCGGTTTGTTTTCCAAAGAACTTACTAAAGCTAGATCCAGCAGATAGGTATTTGACAGAGCAATGTTTGAACCATCCTTCATTTCAAACTCAAAGACTCTTGGATCGCTGTGGAAGTTCACCTTCGCGGTCAACCAAGAGGAAACCTTACCATGTAGACAGCAACACGTTGTCTAACAGGTAACAGCCGTGTGACCATCGTACCTGTCTTTTGTTATGCCAGTGAGTAAGTCCCTGTCATGTTTAAATCCAGCATCACCCTCAAGAAAATGTAGTTGCTCGACGTTAGGCACATTTATATATATATAGGTATATATCTGTCCATATTGTTGAATCATTTTGTTCTATATTGTTCAAGGAAATTCTCCGGTGCAGAGAGCCTCATGTTGTTCCTCTAACAAAAGAATTCCTGGAGGTCACCTTCCAAAGCATGCAGGACAGTAGCGTTTAATCCTTGGCATGTCTAGGATTGTTCTGCACACTTTAGAAGATCTAACCTTTAAACTTTTTCTTTAGCTTCTCCTTTGAAATCTAAAAAAAAATCCTCATTTTGAGACCTGGGGATGTGGCTTTAACAATTTTTACTGACTCTGAGATAGACACCAAAAAGATTTAGCTGCCTTGTAAACGTTTTTGATAGAACTTTTGCCATTCTAATGCAATTTCTGTCTAACACAAAGCTTTGCCTACCTGCTTGCTAGGCTCTGTATATCTCTAAACTAAAAGTAAGGGAAGATATCTGTCCTTTTAACTAAAAAAAATTTTAGCTTTACATTAAAAGTGCTAAATTTATATGAATATAATAGAGCACATAATTAGATCACTGAAAGCGGGTGATACAGAAGCATTATCCAATTATAGTTAGCAAGGTCAACAAAAGTATGTACTTGTCTAAGCAGCCATCTCAGTTTATTTCTCAGTAGTATATCAGAATTTTAGATTATGAATTAGATGCAGAGATAAGTAATTTAGCTCTGAGCTAAACCATTCTCGGTTAGTCAGGCTGTCAATGGGCACTGTTTAGTCCTAGCTGCACTGCTTCCAGGGGCAACATAAGTCCAGAAGCAGAACTGTTTTTGTGTGCCGTAAGACCTGTGCTAATAAATCCTCCTAAACTCAAGCTGAATGTTTGCAGAACCAACTCATGATCCCGTAATAGTCCTGTAACTCCTAAACCAGGAGAGCTGCAATGTACAGTGAAGATACTGAGTGACCCTGCCCCACGTCCATCTGGTTCCAGCAAGCCTGGTCTAGTTTGGGAGATGAGATAGTATGCCAAAAATTGGGTGGTGCCGAGTCCTGCAGAGACCAGGGTTCCTGAGTTAGACCTGGTTGTCCAATAGGGCTTCCTAGGCCACGCTGAACTTATGCGCGTTCCTTTTAGATGTCTTTATCAGTACAGTGTACTCTTATTTTCCACATGCTCGCACCCTTTCCCCTCCCCACATCCTCAGGCCTGGCTTACCTGGCTAATGGAGCATTGACAGTGTAGTTTTTATTCTCGGTGTTGGCATGTTTGATTGTTCCACCTTAACTTCGGTGTGTCAAATGCATTTAAGAATTCTTTCAATGAATATACAGCTAACTCGCATAATGCAGTGTTTACATTGGTGATCTGTGTATATATTATTCATGCGTACATGTGAACATGCAAATATATATGCTGGAATTTTTGAAGTTGTTTTAAAATGTTAACCAAAGCTGAGTTTGTCTGCCAGGATTTAGCCATAAAGAAACAGCCATATACTAACACTTGCACATCTGTTGTTCTAGGGGAGTTCCTGCTGTCTAACTGGTAATATTTGATCTCGCTACAGTTAAATTTTGTGTTTTAAGGACGTCTCCTTCTTGATATGAGTGTGCTTTTATTAAAGTTGAGGTTATTAACACATGACTTTTATCTGGTATATTAATCCTTCTTTATGCATTTTGATGTAGAAATCAAGCCAGCAAAAGTTCTGCCTTGCAGTCACACCACAGATCAAACAGCAAGGATATACAGACTCTAGGGGTTGGCCTGCCAAGAGAAGAGGGTCTTCCAGCAAATGAAAGCTTTTTAAATGGGAACCTTTCTGGAGCTGCACATAGCCCAATGCATGCAAAAAAATCAAGCAACCCACCCGGGTCTGGCAACAAGGATCTAGCCAATAATAACATGCCACATCTTCTTAGTCCAAAGGAAGCAAAATCAAAAACAGAATTTGATTTTAATGTGGATTCAAAAAGCTCTGATGGTCCTGGTACGAAATACCTGAAGTCAAACACCAGATCTCAGCAGAATCGGCACTCATTTATGGAAACTTCTCAAAACAAGACTGGGACGCTGCAACCCGGTGACAAGCATAGTCGCCACAGCTATATCGACACTATTCCACAGTCTTCTAAGAGTCCTTCGTATCGGACAAAGTCGAAGAGCCACGGGGTTCTGACCGACTCCAAATCCGTGGGCAATCTCTCTGAGGCCAGGGCTCAGGCTGCGGAACCAAACAACAGCAGGTATTTTCCATCCAGCTGCATGGACTTGAACTCCCCCACCAGTCCCACTCCTCCCCGCCACAGCGATAACAGAACTTTGCTCAGTCCGTCTGGGAGGAACAACCGCAGTGAGGGCACCCTGGACACCCGAAGACCCTCAACAAGACACTCCAAAACAATGGAAGAGCTAAAACTGCCAGATCATGCGGACGGAAGCCATTCTCACTCGCTGTCTGCTCCACACGAATCTTTTTCCTATGGTCTAGGTTATACCAGTCCTTTTTCTTCACAGCAGCGCCCTCATAGACACTCTATGTATGTGAGCCGGGACAGAGTGAGGTCAAAGGGCTCAGAGGGTGGCTTAAACGTAGGGCAAGGGATGGCAGCCAGAGCAAACAGCCTGCAACTGTTATCTCCACAGGTGCAGCATAAGTCACTCACAAGGTCTGTTGGCTCCTCACGAGAAGACTGTACAGAAGATGCTAATAGGGTTAGTGCTTAATACTGCTTGCAACGGAAGACTTCCCA